AACGCATTTGCTGGATATTGAAATAACCTCAAATTGAAAGCCTGGGGTTATTTCTGGGTGGAAAAAGGACGCATGCCTTGGCACCCTTTTGGATTTCTGGCTCCCGCACGCCTTTTCAGTCCCGCTTCTCGCAGGGCCAGCTTTCTGGACCTGGAGGGGCCGGTGTGGGTGTTGTCCGGATCCCTTAGCCTGGTTTCGCCTTACGTTCCTTTGCTCTGTGTACTGCTTTCCGGACGTGCAGTGCGAGGATTGAGATTCAACCCTGCTTTCAGGAAACTGGTGGATAGTTTCAGGTCCAGAGATACAAGTACATTGCGTATTGCCTGGAATGGAGGGGAAAGCAGGGTAGCACGTTGGGGTAGGGGTGCCTACCTTGAGGCCACAGACCCTCCTGTGCAACAAGATGTACCCTCTTTTTTCTCTGCGGCTTTGGAGGCTGCCCTGGAACTAGCTCTTGTAGACCAGGCTGGTCTCGAACTCACAGAAATCCTCTGCCTTTGCCTCCTGAGTGCTGGAATTAAAGGCATGCGCCATCAACGCCCACGCCCGGCAAGATGTACCCTCTTGGTTTTGGAGAGGGGACCAGAAGATCTGGATAGCCAGGGACAGAGGAGTGGGATCTACCTGCCCAGCACAGTACCTGGGCCTACAGGTAGTCATGTGGAAGACTGTTCTCTGAGTATAATGGCCATTATCATATTCAGTGCGGTTATAATTGCTCAAAAGAAATCCTCCAGATTGGACCTATGTTCCATCAAGGAGAGGGTGTGAGGACGTTTTAATAGATTCCAATCATTCCTTTCCTCACCCCCACCTCCCTGCCTGCTGTAATTCTATCTACGGTGGTCTTTGGAGGTGTTAGACTATGTATGTATGTATGTATGTATGTATGTATATGTATATGGTGTAAGGTTAAAGGGAGGCTCCATCTATGCATCTATAGGGAAGTTGTCATCCATGCTGGGTTGAGACTTTTCAGTTAGGGTGATGGAGCTGCTTTGGGGTCATCATGATCCTGTAAGCAATGAACTCACTCACTGGATGCAATAGTTACTTTGGTCTGTCATTGGTATTTTGTCTGAGGCATATAGATGTTTGTCTCCCCAGGGGAAGTTCATGCAAAAGGTACATGGGCCATCATTAGTATCATCTAATCATCTCTATTTTAAAAACCAAGATAGGTGGGCATGTTGGCACATGCCTTTAATCCTGGCACACAGGAGGCAAAGGCAGGTGGATTTCTGGCTGTGAGGCCAGCCTGGTTTACAGGACAGCCAGGGCTACATGGAGAAACCTTGTCTCAAAAACAAACAAAACAAAACAAAACAAAAACCCAAACAAACAGAAAACCAACCTGGATAAAAGAGCTAACACACTTTCTGTTCCTTTATTCTTGGTCTCTCAATTTCTCTTCATTATCATTTCCCAACCTTTACAATTCAGCTTTGGCATTACAATCATTGCACAGATGTGAAAACTTGTTCATGATGAACAACTCCCATGAGCCTTCAGGAAGGGGTTTTGGAGATTATATCTTGTAGCCTGCACATGACAGTGGCAGGCACAGCAGAAATGGTTCCACAGTGTGCTAAGCCAGAAATTTAGGATGTCATCTTCCTGTTTCCATGGGGCAGTGACAGATCTCCCCTTGGACTGGACAATGTGGTTTCTTTAATTTATTTATTTATTTATTTATTTTGGTCTTTCGAGACAGGGTTTCTCTGTGTAGACCTAGCTGACCTGGAATTAGCTCTTGTAGACCAGGCTGGCCTTGGTTTGCCTGCCTCTTCCTCCCAAGAGCTGGGATTAAAGGTGTGCACCACCACCACCTGACACAATGTGATATCTTTACCTCTTGTGTGTAGCCAGTGGGAAAAGAGGAGGGTAACTCAAGGGAATTGACATGGGGATGAGGACTGATGGCCAGATAGATGATGGCTCCTTTGCATAGCACTGAAATCTTCAGCTTTGTCTTCAACACCAAGGTTGAAATATATGCAGGGACAGTGAGAAGGCAAAGTGACACCCCTTCAGACCCTGGACTGGAGCAGTGGGTCATGGTCAAGGCCATGAACTGCTTCTTTTTCAATAGCCAGATGGGAAGATGGGCTGCAGTGCTAGAAAGTGGACTTCAGGGTTAGGTCTCCAGTATGTGCAGACTTGGAACCTTGCTACTGGTTGCAGGGGCCATCTAACCAGTGGTGGTGGGCCAAGGGCAGCTGATCTCTGTCATCCCTCAGTCCCAAGTCTTGTAGGCACTTGCAGGGCTGGCTGGAGATTCTGTTCTGGCTAATGGGCCCAGGAACACTTCTCTGGAACAGACTCAGGAGGTGTCAAACACTTCCCTAACTTTTCACAGCCTGGGGGTGCCCAATTCTAGAAAATGAAATTTAAGAAAATAAACTGCAGTTATTCAGACTCGTCTGGGCACAATTAACAAGATGTGGCCCTCCCACCTTACCCACCCACTTGTAGTGCCATCCAGAGTTCAGGGGTGTGGAGCCCAGGACCTTCTTCAAGCAGCAGCTCTGGCTCTGCAGAAAAGGGGGTGGGTGGGGTTCCAACTGGAAGGCAAGTAGCCAGGAAAGTGAAGCCCAGCTAGGGAAGCCTCAGGAGAGAACTTCACTCAACTGCTTACATCTAGGGCAGCTTCCAAGTGGGGGAAGCCAGGAAGAAGAGGCTGCCAAACCATTGAGAGACTAGGAGTTAGACAGACTCCTTGGTAGATAGACAGACAGGGGAGAAGCCATGGCTAGGTGATATAGATGGTGAATTTCCAAGACGGCAATGTTTTCCTTACCCCCCTCACTTGTCACAAAAGCCTGACAGCTTAAGACAAAAGCTCTGTAGACTTTATTTTGTATACAGTGTTCTGTCTGCACGTATCCCTGCAAGCCAGAAGAGGGTGCCAGATCTCATTACAGATGGTTGTGAGCCACCATGTGGTTGCTGGGAATTGAACACAGGACCTCTGGAAGAGTAGCCAGTGCTTTTAACCTCTGAGCCATTTCTCCAGTCTGCATTGTAGACTTATGTCTTCCACCAGCAGGCCCCCTGCTTATGGACTGGTTCAACCAGTTCAAGGCCTGCTCAGGACATGCCACACATCAGTTGTGGGCCAATCATACACCCTAGCTTTCTTCAACTGACCAACCCTAAATTAGAGAAGGAAAACCCAAGTCCTAGGAAGAGACTGGATTTTTCTGCTTCACAGACAGTTTGTTTTCTGTGTGTCTGCTACATGTGTGTGTTTCCTCACCCCCAATAAATGCCTTTCTTCAACTGCTGATTCTGTGTGGTGCTTGAAATTTCTCTGCTGCCTGTTGTACTCCAGAGTTTTCCAGCCTATTAATTATTGACTGGCATAGAAAATGAAGCTGTTCAAAACTTCTAGACAGTGCTACAGCAATTTGTTAGGAAAAGACCCATATTTTCCCCTGAGGCCACTCAATGGACTAAGCCTGAGCTACAGAGCAGCTGTAGATTAGATGGGAACAGCAATGCCCTACCATGAGGATAACCGAGTTCTTGAAGCCCTAGAAACCTGGTAGTCCTAAGAAACTCCTCGATCTACCACTGTCATTTAGAGGTCAGAACACTAATATGGTGGGGACTATCTCCTGAGCCAAACTGCTACCATCTTCAGGAGTTTAGCTGGGCTTCCTTGCAGAAGATCATGACAGGTTGGTTTGCTGACTATTGACTTCCTTTCAGGACTGACTACTGGGGGAAGCATAGGGCTCTCATCTAAGTAATCAGCCATTCCTTCTGTTCAGTTGCATGCAATTCTGCCCTAATTGCAGGCAGCCTTTTGGGTCTGGGGAGGGGCTAGAATATATAGGAGGAACCCCTATTTACACAGCAATGGGGGAGTCATACTTGCTGGGTACAGACCTTCCAGCATGGCTACTTTAAGTAACTCCCCCTCCTCTTCCATGTTCCTGCCTGTAACTCTTCATCCATTGTCCTATAAGAAAGCCTATACATTCTTTGGTTCCCCAGAGTAAACACTGGTGGAATGTACTTCCATTTGCTATTGGGTCTTTAGGAGGAGGGGTAGATGTTTACATCTCCCCCTGAGAAGTAATTTAGCAATAACCAACAACATAGTCACCAGTCTGTGAATGTAGTGAAGAAGCTGTTCCCAGTGGGACCCTCAGAGGAGGCTGTGCCCAGCCTGGTCCTGAACAAGGCTACTTACCCTCCAATAATCCTTAGTATTAGTGGGATGTTGTTCATTTCCCTCCCAGAACAATGATTTTCACTTTGGTGAGCTGCTTAAGTACAGGGAGCCAAGGATGAGACCAGTGTCTGGCATGGGTAACAGTAGCCAAGCACAGGCAAACCCCAGCATACATGCTTGGACCACTCACCATGACAGCCTGGTTACACACATTGAGCTGGGGCTGTCCAGGGACCAAGGACTTCTGGTGCTGCTGGACAACCTGGGTGATCCTGCTGAGGACATCCTGGTATTCAGCACTGGCAAAGCTGTAGAGAAGGCAGCTCTGGTTACAGGACTATTGTGTCTAAGGCCAATCAGCTCCTGGCAGGCAGCTCAGGAGGTTCACCGACATTCTAGGACATGAAATGGTCTAGCCTGGAAAGCCTGAGACCTTGAGTTGGTTTCCAGAGGTGGGAAGAGCAAAGATGGCAGTCTGAAGTCAGAGTGGGCTGTGGGCTCCCACCTGGTGACTCATGACCCTCTCTGGAAAGCTTTCTGTATTGTGAGCTGCTCTCCTGTTGTCAGACTCCACCGGGGGAGGGAAATAAGGGCCTAGGAATCTGAGCCATGGCAGGGAGTCCTCTGTTTACTGCCAACATGACCTGTGTGTGATAAGAACCCAGGGTGTGGGTCAGAGACCGGTCCTGAGGACTGGGGCCTCTCCACAGGAACTGCCACAACAGTTGGTACTATTTTGAAACACATGCACATATGACACATACTTTTTCCTTAGAAGGGACTGTCTCATGTTGAGAAGGGGTCAGGTACAGATGGAAAGAAAACAGCACACACAGCCCTAAAGTTCCAGCATAGGCACCTCCAGTGTTTGATGAACCTTTCACTAAGAAGACAGGATACCCATGCAGATGGCACATGGCAACCTCTATATTATCAACAACTGTGGTCCTACAATGAAGTTGCAAGGACATCTATGGGGACCAAGTGTTTTTGTCATTTTAAATCATGTTTACTGTTGCCTACACCATGTGTCCTCAGGTAACTATAAATGAAAACCTGTGAGCTGCTACATCCCATGGGAACAAGTCGGTCTCTGGGCAGCATGGGGAGGAAGGACAAGAGCAGCCAAGGCCCCAGCCCTGGGAAGTGGCTGGTGGTTCCTCAAAGGTTAATGCTAAGGGGGAGCATGGTGGCTCACACCTTTATAGCCAACACTCAGGAGGCAGAGGCAGGCTGATCTCTGTGAGTTTGAGGCCAGCCTTGTTTACATCATGAGTTCCAGGACAGGGCTACATACTGAGACCCTGTCTCTAATAAATAAATAAAAATGTAATGCTAAATTTCCCTCCCAGATAAGATCAATTACATTTATTTTTCTTTTTGGGAGGTGCTAGGGATGGAAGCACTAGGCAAGTACTCTACACTGAGCTATATATCCAGTCTGTGTCTTATCCTATCCCTTCTGTACATTGCCCTCTCACCTGACCATTCAAACAAGGTCCATCCAAACACCTGCGCCATAACCATCTGCTGGACTGTCAGGGAGCCTTTAGCTGAGTGTGAAGCAAGCCATAGCACACTCACTGTGTGATGAATGGCTCCACACAACACACACCACTGATATGCCCACATGGAGTAAAGAGGGCAGAGCCTAGGGCTGTGTACATGCAGGGTGCAGACAAATCTCAGATATCTGTAACTCAAGCTTTGACAAACTGTGGGCAGAGAGAATTCTGCATGTGAAACAAGTCCTCATATTTCTTAATGTCTCAGGATGGCTGGTGAGAAGATGACCATATGCTTCCTACCCTTCAGGTACCCCAACCATCACTGTGACCCCAAGGGGCCTGAGGGACTTCAGAGGCTTAGGCTGTACTCCAACGTTGTACTGGGTTTGACTGCTCCCTGATGATAGCAGGGCCTCTTCCAGCACAGCTGCCTCCTAGGAAGAGGACTTAGGCTCCTGGGACTCAGTTATGTTCTAGTCCAACTTCTAGCATCAGAGTTTTCTGTCCACACAGATGGAGTATCTTGAGACACACAACATGACAGGGCCACAGGGTGAATTCCTTATGGGTTTGGATCTTCAGAGGCTTGCCTATACCCATAACCTCCAGCCCTTGTATGGTACCTCCCTATACTTCTTGTGTGCTGCCGTGTTCATGGCTTGTTGTTAATTCCAAGTCCTGGGCATTCCAAAATCCCTGCAGGTACTGTGGCCAAATACATCTGTTGTCCCATGGCCAGCTAGTGCTAAGGACTTTGTCCCAAGGCTCCCAGTCTGTGACTATCATCTTGCTTTTCAAGAGGCTCAATGCAGAAAAGCAGCAAGGCAGGTAAAACCATAGAGAGTCTGCCATGGGGACATTCTCTCCAAAATTCACCTCTGGCTTTCCTTATGCCCTGTCTTGAGAGAGTCATGCCCTTGGGCCAGGAGGTGGCTTTGGGACAGGGGCTGGGCAGCTGCTGCAGGTGGTAGAATTGTGCAAGCCTTCACTGAGTCTGGTAGGTAGGGCTTACCTTTAGGAAGTGAACAGGCCTTGAGAAGAAGCATCTCAGAATGAAAAATTCCCCAAGGGCCCAAACTGAGCATAAACTTGATGTGGGAAAATGAAGCAGGGGCACCACTGTAAGACACTGTGACCCTTGGGTTGATCCTGAGGGCAGGAGGCCAGTGGTGATCAATCAAGACACATATCTTTTAGGAGAGCCAAACAACCCTGCAGCTCCACCCTCCCTTATCAACAGAGCTCCTTGTGGTTTGTGACATTTATGCCCTAGTGGGCCTTGAGGAAATACCAGTCTCTGCTTGAGAGAAAGGAAAAGAGGCTCCACACAGCCGCAGTTTGGAGGCTAGAGGGTTGAAGTTAGGACACTACAGGGCCACACTCCCTCTAGAGAACCTGAGAGGTACCTTTCTGCCTGGTCCAACCCCTTGGCTTATCTCTGCCTTGTCCTTAAGCAGACTTTCCCCCTTGATGTCTCTCCCCTCTTCTTTCAGAATAATGCCCCACCACTATCCAGGATAACCTCATTGCTATCTTGACCTTAACAATATCTACAAGACCCAATTTCTAAAAGGTTGCCTTCCGAGGTGCTGGAGACATACAACTACTCACACAAGATGTAGGAACAGCCTTAGTGATCCTTATGGTGTATTAAAGTCCTCTGTTTTATAATCTCTGATTAGCAAGCCATGGCCTGTCACTGAGCAGAAGGCTGTGTTTTCCAACCTGGCAGGAATGCTATAGGACACAGGACTTGTAATCCAGGACCTAAGGCACCTACCATCCTGCTAAGGGAGCTGTGTTAGCCTCCCAGGGAGAGCCAGAGTGAACTGGGCCAGAGTTGGCTGAGGAGCCGTAGTAGATTTGGAGTTTGGTGGATGTGATTCCAGTCACTGTGTGTGCAGTGACTTGTGATCTTCACTGTGAATAGGGGAAAGTAGGAGGGGTATCTTTGAACCCTACAGTGGCCATTTAACTCACCAGAATTTGTCACTGTGGGTAGCCAGGGATAACAACTCCTGAATTGAAGGACTCCTGCCCAGTGGGGACCAGCAGGCAACCCTCAGCTCCACGATGCTGGCTGTCACCTGAAGCACTTTACTCTAGAATCTAGGATCATGTCCCTGAACATTTCTACTCTCAATCTTTCCCTCCTGTCAGTCCCAGGGCTAGTTAGTACAGATAGATGTATCCTAAGCCTGGATCCCTCACTCATGCCCTGAAGGTAGCTCAGAGTATAGGACCCATTGCTGGGACTGGTCCTAGAAGGGGCAGAGATGAGAAGTAACCAGGAAAGGAAAGCGAGAAGAGAGCTTCCAGAGAGCAAAGCAACCATGGCCCAAGGTGGAGGTGGAGGTTTCTGGGATCCCTCTGTGTAGTTCATGTCCTCAAAGAGGCATACATTCCCTCTGAGACCAGAGGAGTAACTCCATGGAAGACAGACCACTCAGATGTGGTTCTCACCTTTGGCCTGTCTGGCCAGTGTCTGGAGCATGGAGACCCTACCCCTGCCTCACCTGAGTGGGAATCTCTCCCCTGGGTCACGTCCCAGGTGAAAGATCAGGGGTAGCTCCGTGTGTTCTTCCTGGGTATGGGTTGTGACTCCTGAGACATTCTGACCGGGGCAGAAGTCAATGCCCTGTAACAAGAGCCAGAGAGACCAAGTGAGCATCACAGAGCCAGAGCCCATGCAGCAAGAGATGTCCTACTAATCCTTTTCCTCACACATCCCCCATACCGGGTGTTATAGTGTTCATTGATGAATGAACATGAGTCAGGTAGAGTATGGCCACCTGGCTGAAGGGAAAAGCTTCAGGCTCAGAGCTGCTAGGCAGCTCACTCTGGGTGTCTCCCCAAGTTTTCCTGTACCCCCTTATGGGAAAAAGCTCTTAATAGTAGTCTGGGCATCTAGGCTGTAATCCCAGAACTTAGGAAGCAGTAGCAGGAATATCATGAGTTTGAAGTCAGCCTTGGCTCCATGAGACCCTGCTCAAAACAAAATGAAACAGTCTGGGCAGTTCCACATCTTGACTTTGATCAATGGCTCAGAGAAGAGCTCCTGAAAGTTCCATAAAGCTCCCTCATTGTGTGGCCAGGGAGAACAGTGGACCAATCAGAATGGAGTGAGTAAGGGTGAGTCACTAGACTAGGGAAGGCTGAACCCAGGCAGCATGGAGTCAACCCCTGCAGCTTCTCAGGTAGTTTGGCTGCGGAGGCTATCTCTCCTAGGTACAACCTGATTCCACTACAACAGTTCCTGTGTGCAAACTTGTTCATTGCCTTTGACCTTCCCTCCCAGATCTCCCTGGTTACTCCTTAGAGTGCACTGATGGGGAATGGGTAATGCCCCCAATCAAGCTTCCAACAGTCTCAGAGAACTGTGAGGCAAGAGCTTACTCTAAATTTCATGACTCAGGTGCTCTAGAGCCAGCCATATTGCCAGTGGGAGACAACACTGTAGGGTTTGTTTACGTTTGAAATGATGCCTGAGATGGAAAGTGCAATGCAGTGCAGTTCCCTAAGCAAATGTCTCTTAACACCTTGTATAAAACCCCTGTGATGGTGTAGCAGTTTACAGTTTTTTATTGTTTTCTTTTTTTTCTTTTCCTTTTTTTAAATTTTTTTTTTCTGAGACAGTGTTTCACTGTGGCTTTGGAGCCTGTCCTGGAACTAGCTCTTGTAGACCAGACTGGTCTCAAACTCACAGAGATCCACCTGCCTCTGCCTCCTGAGTGCTGGGATTAAAGGCGTTCGCCACCACTGCCCGGCCCAGTTTACAGTTTTTAAAGCAGGGAGGCCGTAGACTATGAAGTTCCACTTAGACTGAGCTGCAGACAAGTTGGGGGCTACCTTCCAATCAAAGTGGGTTCCAGGATCTGGGTCTCCTGGAGTGCCCTGCCAGGGGACAAACAAACAGTGCACAGCAGGGAACACCACAGTTATCTTGAAAATGTTAAACAGTGGAGAAGTACCCAAGTCTAGATGGGACATATAAATTATAATTTGGATGCAAAGCAAATAAGCTGTTTAATTAAGATCCTGCTAATTGGCCTACAGTTTCTCTTACAGCTGCAGTTGTCTGAGCACCTCACCCTCAGGGCACTGGCAGGGAAGTCAGCCTGTTGTACATTATGCTTTATCTTCCCCACAGAGCTGAACTCTGGCCTGGCTCTGGAGGCACAGGTAATGGGGAAAGGTAAGCTGCTAGAAATCAAACACTGATTTTGAAGAGGTGGTGAGGGACACCACCTGGTTGATGCACTCTCCTAGGATGGTCAAAGTTCAGGTGTTATAGCAGCTGAGGACTCCATTTTAGGTCTGAAGCTAGTTTAGTGAGCAACCTGAGGCTGTTAAGACAATGCTAGAAATTCTAGATATGAATGCAAAAAACCCTGGATGTTCTCACACCTGCAGAAGCTTACCTAAGCAGGGACAGATTGTGGTCTTTTGTTTTTAAAAGCAGCCCTCCCCTTTTAGCTGGGCTTCAGCTTTAAATCAGACCATGGGAACTCAAGACAGCTGCAATTTAAATAAAAAAAAATTAGCTAATAAAAAAAAAAGAAGCCATGGTGGTGCACACCTTCAATCCTAGCACTCATGAGGCAGAGGCAGGCAGATTTCTGTGAGTTTGAGGACAGCCTGATCTACAGAGTGAGTTCCAGGACAGCTGGGGCTACACAGAGAAACCCTGTCTCAGAAAACAAAACAAAACCAAAACTGTGAGGAGCCGCACTCACATTCGCCATTACAAGATGGCGCTGACATCCGCTGCCGGATCAAGTAAACAACGTTGGTATACATGTGCCCAGTGTTTTTCCACTGCCTAGCCCCGCCTATTCCATGGCGTCATATAGGGTGACGAGTCATGCACCTATCCCAGCTGTACACGCATTGCTCAGAGTTTGTGAGCCTTTATAAGGGGACGGGATTCTTGGCTCGGGGTCTCCGCTCTGGTAAGCTTATGCTCTCCTCTCAAGACGCATTAAAGCTTTACTGCAGAAGGATCCGAATGTCCTGTGTGGTTCTTGCCGGCGAGACAATCGCATGGGACATCTGGTGCCGAAACCCGG